CTAAAACTCGACCTCACCCATTTGCTCTAGTATGTATTTTACGTTTGTTTGTTCTTCAAACCTCTAACACTGTCGTCAAGGAAGCATTGGAAATTGGTTTGTAAGATCCACAAGGTTAAGATACTCTGGGTAAGTTTAAGGTTCTCAAATGAAGTTTAAAAGATTCTAGGAAAAGATTAAGAGACTCAACACCTTACGGCACGAGCTGACGACAGCCATGCACCACCTGTGTCCGCGTTCCCGAAGGCACCCCTCTCTTTCAAAAGGATTCGCGGAGAAATTTTCAATGACCTATCAAGTTGTTTATAAGGACATAAGGCCTTTAACTCTAAGTAGATAGAGGAGCTTCATTTGAGGCATTGGATTCATTCTATTTTGTCAAGAACATAGAATAAAAAGGTGAGTCCCATGGGATTGTAGGTCTCAGTTTTTTTCTCAAAATTCGTGACCATATGTATGAATTAGTATGTAAGATCTTAGCATGATTCTTCACATTTCTGTGAAGGAAATCGGAATAAAATTGCAAGGAAAGTAGGAGGTCCAAGAAGCCTCCAAAAATTGTAAGAACTCATAAATTTCAAGTAAGCTAGTATCTAAAAATTATTAAAAGAAAAAAAAGAAGAATACTATTGTATGTTAGATAAATACAGAGATCGAAAATCATTCATAGTCTTTAATTACGGTTTTTTAGGTAACTATAAGGTTTAATTAAGTTGCCCACTTCTTCCATTTTCTATTTTTCATTTTTACTATGTAATTTTTTATTTAAATATCTCAATTCAAGGAGGAATAAGATCATCCAGCCTTCAAGCACAATTGTCTCTCTCCTTTGTTTTCAATTCAAGGAGGAATAAGATCATCCGGTTTTCAAGAATACTATCGTCAACGATTTCCTCCTCTGTCAAAACATCATTTTTCTTCGGTCAAAACAACATTGTATAGAGGGATGAAACTCTACAACTTTCGTGAAGAAATTAATTTAATCCGAATTGTGTGCATGAAGATATGGAAGTCCAAAGAAAATAGGTTGAACTAAATTTTATCATCATAATCTAAGAATTTGCACTAAACGAATTCGTGGGCACGAAGGGAAAATTCTTCTGGCTTAGGCGACCAATCACCCGGCGAACGAAACTATTTGGTGTCACTATGTGTAGAATATAACCCGCCCGACGATGGACGACATAAATAGAGACCCAAAAACCCACCACTACGTCTAGAGTATAACCCGTCTTGATAAGAGATGCTTGATTACATAAGTGGGTGACATGAGAAATTGTTATTGTATGTACAATAACCCACCTTGAGAGGGAACAAAGGACTACATAAGTAGATAGAATGAGATGTTAACCTGCCTTGAGAGGGGACGAGGGGCTACATATGTAGTTGATTGAGGAGACACTATTGTTTATAGAACAAAACTGACTGAGGGTGGATGAGAAACTACATAAGTAATATATTGAGAAGCTACTATTGTGTGTGGGGGAAACTCACCCTGAGAGAAGATGAGGAACTATACAAATAGATTAGCTCATGATAGACACCACTGTGGTGTGAGGTAACATTCACGGAATACCTGAACTAGGCCCGAACTTCTTAGAACTCTATAACATGTGTCGACCTGAGGCATCAATGTTATTTGGTATTTCGTTTGGATTGCGTTTGTATTGGTTCTCGTGCACCCATTCTCCATTTGTAAATATTTGGAACAATACTTATTTTGTACCCGAGTTGTTTTAGGTTTTTGCAATGGTATTATTTGATTTTAAAACACCTACAATTTTACCGTATTTTTAATTGTTTGTTTTTATTTTATTTTTATTTCATTTATTTTCATTTTCTTCTTTTCGTTTTGGTCCGATTTTTCGAAGCTTTGAAAATTTGGTTGTGATAGAATTTGACACGTGATGATGCAAATTAATAGAAATAAACCATAAGGATGTAGTTTACCACTTTGTTCACTAAATTTAGGAAGCTTTAGAGTTCATTTGATCAAGTGTGATTACAACAAATGTGGCCACTTTGAACTTGAAGGGCTCTCATGTTCACTATTTTGAGCCAACCAAACCATAGAAGGCTTTGGATTTGCATTGTAAAAACCTTGATCATACTCATTATTCACTAACTTTCCCTCAGAGTAGTAATTGGCTGATGCTTCAACTTCATATCTTCTCATGGTGTTTACATTGTTCATTAGCTCCATTCTTCCGTCTTGGTGGGTTTCGTTAATAACTATAAACAAAATTTTAAGGAAACACAAGTTATAATTTATTAGGAGAATATTTTGGAGATATATTAGTTAAAATATATGTGAGATATTTAGGAAGTTGTTAGTATAAATTTGATTAATAGTGTATTTTATTTATTTACAAGATTTAGTCTATTTTTAGGTATTAGTTAATAGTTTGTATCTATTTAAACGTGGTAAACCTGAAACGTGGAAAACCTGGATGAAGTATATACACTTTTCCAATTCTATTTTCTATTTCTATTTCTTAACATGGTATCAGAGCATCGATCGTGGTGTTCTTGAATATCAAAATTTCCTTTATGGCGGAATCAGCCAAATCCAGCTTTAAAATTTCGGATGTTGATTTAACACATCCTTACTATATGCATCACTCTGATCAGCCAGGATATTCACTTGTTCCAATCAAATTAAATGGAGCAAATTACCAATCCTGGAGTAGATCAGTTATGCATGCTCTTATTGCCAAGAAGAAAATTGGCTTCATTGATGGCACAATTGAGGAACCGCCCCAAGATGCAAATTCAACCGAATTCGAACTTTGAAATCAGTGCAACAGTATGATAATATCTTGATTAACTCATTCTGTTGAAGCAGATATCGCTAAAAGCATTATTCACGCCAAGACAGCTCATCAAGTGTGGGTTGATCTTCGCGATCAATTCTCACAAAAGAATGCTCCAGCAATTTTTCAAATACAAAACTCGATAGCAACGACGACACAAGGAACCATGGCACTGTCAACATATTTCACCAAGCTCAAAGCACTCTGGGATGAACTGGAAGCGTACCGCACACCATTTACGTGTAATCAACGTCAAATACATATTGATCAACGGGAAGAAGACAAGTTGATGCAATTGCTCATAGGGCTCAATGAGTCTTATAAAACGGTGAGATCTAACATATTGATGATGTCTCCATTACCTAATGTGAGGCAAGCTTATTCATTACTTGTACAAGAAGAGATGCAGCTACAGGTAACTTCTGAACCTACTGAGAATTTCTTGATTGCATCAGCAGTGCAGAAGAAAACAACATATTCAAAATTCGCCAAGGACAAA